TCCAAAAATATATAACTCCCACAATATTTCTTTCCCATAAATCAAAATTGCCCCTTTCCCTAATTTTTTTTCCTACTTCGACGGTTCTTACACACTTCGGAGTGCTTCGTCTCTTCTAAATCCTCCGGACGATATTGACACTTGGTACGGGCGCACCTCTTCCTTCCAGAATGCCGCTATTTCACGGCCTTCATCGTCGCTCACATTATCGAAATTGTCGACATCACATCTCTGCCAGTCATTCATCGGCGTGCTGTCTGCGCGCTGCACACAAATAATATCCCACGACATGTCTAGGGATAATTCCTCCCAAACATCAAAATACGCCGCCAGACACTCAGTGAACTGCCTCACAGTGCTGGCGGTGGTGTGGTGCCCACCCGCCGTAGCCATCCGCAGCCCAAACAGCGTCTTCCGCGGTGACTTCAAAAAGAAAAAGGGTCCACCAGCGGAAAGCCTGCACCCGCCGGTATGCACAGCAGCCGATGCTTTATATTAGTATTTGTATGGTATTCATTGCAACCACTCCACATAAGACTCGGCGCGGTGCCCTTCAGAATTTGCCGCCAGCACCGCGCACTGTCCTCCACTGCGTGCTGGTGGCCTCAGCTCCTTGAATTCCTCCTCTAATAATGCACCGAAAATCTCCCCAAAACATTAATGCGCGCAATCCAAACTCTCCCATACATTCAGACAAAAGAGTACTCCTCTTCCCCAATACTAGCAACAGAAATATATATATACATCCTTCTCACTCATCACGTTTCCAAAAATAGTGCGGTATTCGACGCCCGAGGCAAAAAGATATCGGTGCGTTAAGAAATACCTCAGCACCGACTTCTCCTCTTGCTCGGACAACCCTCACGAGCTTTTGAGACGGATCCTCAGAGTCCCACAGTCTCACTCCCCCATGTGTAAAGTGCTCTTCACCATCCCGGGAATTGATCCCATCCAAGGCATCCTCAATGGCGGCAGAGTGTGCAATGAACTCATTCGCATCAAAGATGTAACGTGGAATCGGCCCCACGTTATCCATGCGTTCTTTGACCATCTTCCAGCATTCCGCCTGTTTCTCTGCAGTCTCGTCACGCTTCATCCATGCACACATCGCCTTCACATCCATCTCGGCGGGGCAATTCATGATGATTCGCGCGGCTCTTTTTTTTTTCTCCCATTTATCATAGTTGCCCACGCTTGGCGATGACACCACAATCATGCCCCATCCCCTGCCAGGCAAAAAATATTTCGCTGGCGGTTTCCCTTGCCTTGTCACATCGTAAATAACATACCCCTTCAACCCACAATCCCATAAATCACGCAAACATTCCTTGGATGCTCCTCTACCCACGTGTCTTGTCACCGCCTTGATGGTCTTGTCAAACACGTACGTCGTATTTCCACCAAAACTGTAGATAACCAAATGGAGTTTCTCCGCATCGCAGTGCAGCAGCTGGTAGAGGAGGTACGAGCCGGCACCCATCGACTTCCCGATCCCGGGCGTCCCGATCAACACACGTCGCCTAGGCTCAAAGTAGGCCCCAGGGTCAGGGCCGAGCAATTCGGTTAGATCATTCCTGACGGTCTGCCACACTCGCTCCACCTCACGGTTCACATGACAGTCACGAAGGGATTCATCCTCCCCCCACGAGTACGGCCATCCCTTGTCCGAGGTGAGCACCATCAGCCTGAGACGCGGTGCACCGGATTGCTGCACACCGTCATCCTTTTCGAGAGTGTCGCCAACTGCCTTGTACGTCCATGACTGCGGTGGTTCCCCCTCCCTCACCTCCATTCCCGTCCCCTCGCCGCCAGGAACTTCCACGACATGGTGCCACCTCGCATTGTACACAGACTCGTAGCATCCCTCCAGGTATATCGGTGCACTCGACTTCTTTGGGTTCCTCGCTTCCTCGGCGGCCGCATCCAAGAACCTTTTAGTGATTTCTTGAACATTTGCCTTTACCTCCGCAGTAGCCACCAACCAATTCAGTAGATTGTCCACACCTTTCTCGTAAAGGTTGTTTACATCCTCTTCCATATCCATTTCATCCCGTACAGCCCCCTCCATCCTCTTGTAACGATCGGATGCCTGCATTTCGTTCAATACTCCCGCATCGCAAATATACTTCTTGGGGTTCTTAAAAAACTCCTCCAGTAAGACATCCCGATTGGCGTCCACAGCGCCCCTGCCGTCCAATTCCATCGCAAGAAAATCATTCAGCTTCATTTCATTGACGCGAACCCTTCCTTTAAACACCGCATCTTTAATCCTGGTGGAAACGTCAATCCCCAGTTCTTGTCGTTCTCGCCTTTCCCTTTCTTCCGCCTTCTGCCTCTCTTCTCTCAGTACATAAGAGTAGGCTGTGTTTATTTGTGCCCTTGCAAGAGGAGTGACCGTGTCCTTTCTTTTAAAGTCCCTCCATTGCCTGAGAGTGACAATATATTCCTTTTTAAGCTTATTTGAAGCCCCCAATAGCATGTAAAACTCCTCACGCTCTTTTTCCAGCTCTTGATATGGCGGCGATGCCTCTATTGTGCTCAATAACACTTCGTCTTGGATGAACTCATTGGGGCTACTCCAAAAGTCCTTCATGTAGACGTTCTCATTGAATTCCTCAACGCCCCTGCCGTCAAAATAATTCCGAAGGAAGTCATTCAGCCTCATGTTGGTGATGCGTTCCTTTCCCTCCAGCAGCACTTCATCCAGCCGACTTTCAAGAGTCCACTGCGGTTGTCGCGTTTCCTCCACTCTTATGTGGGCCGCAGCGGGTTGTTCCGTGTCGCCATGGGACTCCTGCCTCGCTCTCGTCGGACGATCTCCCTGCGGCACAGCAGACGCTTGACTCTCGGCATTGTCATCCCCGTGCACTCTCTTGCGCTTTCCAGGCATTGTTTCTCCTTGTCTTCGCAGTTGGATTGAGTTAAAAGCTGAACACTAACCACCAATCAAAAAGAAAAAAAAAAGAAAATAGAATAAAGAGAGAAAGAGAAAAAAAAGGAAAATACGCACAGACATGACTGCGCAACCACAACAAGAGAGCCATCCACACAGTGTGACAGCACAAAGTGGCCTCCATCACGCAATAATAATAAAAAATGTACATTTCATCAAAAAATAGAGGTAAGCCAAAAAAGAAACAAATGAACAGCGAGGCTGTCAGTGCAGTGAACAATCGATGGCTGTGCTGCGCATTGCAGAAGTGGCCCCGCATCCTTCCCTAATATCAACCATCACCGCATACTTACTAATTCCGCGTGTTACACGTCACATGGCAGCGTAATCAATCATACGGCTCGCACTGGATGCACGGTCCAGCAGGCTCAGGGCGTCTGAGCGGGTGTCACCGGCCATGGGTTGCAACGGCGGTGCAGGTGGTTGGTAAGACGACGCAACGGTGGTGCCTGAGGCATACGACGATAACGTCACGTTGTGGGGCTTCTGCGTCTCTTCGGCGCTCTCCTCGTCATCGCGCAGCAGCGCCTCCAGCCCACCACGCCGCGGCTCGCGCAGCTCCTGCCAGTGGTGGTCCTCCACGTACCACAGAGCCATGCAGTACGCAGAGACCGCAAGCAGCAAAGCCGCCATGCAGAAGTACTGGGAATGGCAGCAAACAGCACGGGCGGATGACGGACGACGCCCCCTCGTGCGAGGGTGAAGAAACGTGGAGAAGGAGTCAGCCGCACAACGCACGCAGAAGCAGCGTCATCCACGCTGCTCCGCAAGAAACTGCCGTGCGCACAGCACACAGGCAGCCGCAACGAGAAGAACGGGGCGCACCCAAGCCCACGGCACAGTCGGCCACGGCTCCGTCCTCACAGATTGGCGTCATGCCGCACAGCAGGCTGCAATGGATGGTGCCCCGCACACGCAACGAGGCATGCAGCACACCGTCCCCTCCCTTTGCGGAAGAGGCAGAAGGCCGAGCCGGGCACCCCGTCACTCCCGTCCCATCGCTGAGGGGAACACAAACAATCGTCGTTGCGGACAATCGGTGCCTATAGCAGGGAATAAAAGAAGAAGAAACGGGGGCATGTCAGCAGCACAGCCGGCAGAAGGACACTCAACCGGACACGGTAACACAAAGTGGCAGTGGTGCACAGCACAAACGGAAACAAGTCCAGCGAGTTAGCAAAAAGAAAAAAGAAAAAGAGTGTGAGTCCAGCAGGACTCCCGGAAAACAGAAATGGAAAAGTATCTCTTAGCAGCGGTTTGCATTTCATCTGTCCCAAAGCACAGAGGGACTGGGTGTATACATATATTGCCCGCAAAAAAGAAAAGACACTGCATTGTTCCACCAGCCCGCACAACATCCTCTACATTTTATTGCGACATCCGGCCTGTTCCTCCGGTCCTCTTTTGTGCGGTACGTGGGACGCAAAACAAAAAGGCCGTCGTCGCGTGTGGGCAACAGAACCAAAAAAAAAAAAAAAAAACGGCAGTCATGGCTGAGCATAACAGGCAAGAATTACAACAATACAAGAAAAAACAGAAAAAAGGGATGCCACTGAACCCAACAAGCACAAGCAGCAGGCAAAAAAAGAAAGAAAAAGCAAACATGGGTATATTAAAGAAATTCGGAGAGTGATACTGGGAGGCTGCACATTTCGTTTTTACACGAAAAGTCGCAATTGTACCGTTCCTCGCTTCATTCAACAGAAGGCCGCAACGCCCCACAGCCCCAGCAGAAGCAGAAGCAGGGACAGCACTCCACACAGATGCCCACGGACGGTGCTGTCGCCACTGACAGCCCCCTTCACCACTGTGCTCCCAACCCCCTTTGTGATTGGGACGGATGTGTTTTTTGGGTCTGCCGCTGCTGCACCGCCTCGTCCAACTTCTTCCCCTGCAGAGCTGCCGGTTGCTTTGCCCTTCGCCAAGTCAGTGCCGGCTGCTCCCGACGACTCGCTGTCTTCCCCTGCAGAACTGCCGGTTGCTTTGCCCTTCGCCAAGTCAGTGCCGGCTGCTCCCCACGACTCGCTGTCTTCCTCTGCAGAACTGCCGGTTGCTTTGCCCTTCGCGGAGTCAGTGCCGGCTGCTCCCCACGACTCGCTGTCTTCCCGCTTCTCCAGTGCCGCAACCTCACTGTCATTGAAGCAGCGGCTGTACAGCAAGACGTTCCTCACTGTGAAGCAGCGTACTGTTCCTTCCAGGTTTATCCCGTCACTCCCAAAAAAGATTTGAGAAACCATTTCAGGTATCTTCTCCTGCGCAGGCACCCCAGCCCTAGGAGGAGCTCCCAAAGTAAATGGGTGTTTCTCCACCAAACTCCCCAAAAGCTGCCCATCAACGTACGCCGTGCATTCACCGTTCCGCACCGTGAGCACCACTCGGTACGCCTTCCCCGCCTCCCACGCAATTGTTCCTGCACCCTTTCCTTCCCCTGCCTCCGTCCTCCAGTGCTTATGTTCGTCGTACCACAGATTCAGTTCTCTCCAGGTTGAGCCCACCACGCTCACGCCCAGCAAAGGTGTGATGTTCTCTGGGGCTTCGTTGATGGTCACCGTCGCCACAACAGTAAGCTCCTCATATCGGGGACTGTACAGTGCATTATTATAATTACTGCCGGCCGGCCAAAAAATACGTGCATCAACCCCTGTCAGCTCAAAGCCATTATAGACCTTCTTCACCCCCTTCTCAGACACCGTCGCTCCCACACCACCGTACTCGTCATTCCAGTGAGTGCTGTTGCCATTGTCAGAAAAGAAAGCAACCAGCCCATCCGTTGGCAGGCGACCAACGCAGGCAGCATCTTTTGATGCGCTCTTCCCGGCACTGGAGCTGCAAAGCGTTGAGACCCTGTCATCCACAGCTTCCCAAGTTTGCAGCAGGAAATTGATTTGCCGCATCTGCTCCGTGAGGCGCGTGAAAAAAAGACCGCCTGATGCTCCATCCTCACCATACTTCGCGTAGAGAGCAAACAACTCGCCTTTTTTGTGCAGCAGGGTGATGAAAAAGCTTTGGTCAAAAGAACCAGCAAATATTGGTCCAACGTCATGTGCGCGAACAAAATCAGAGAGGAACAGGTGCATCACTCTGCGTGCACCTTGTGTATCGCCTGGAACATACTCGAACAACATCTGGGTGTACAACAGCACACTCTTGCTCCCAATGGTTGCCGTTATGATGTCAGTGCCTCTGGGGTGCATGGGGAACAAACGTAATTGACTCAACAGGCGTGGAAATGGCCCCACCATCTTTGCCCATGTCTTCCCCATGTCAACGGATTCGTACACCCTGAGCTGCTGAGGAATAACAGAACCCGAGGTGACCATGAGAAGTTTCCCCTGCCACTCGAGGAGAGTGAAATCCATACAGTCATTAGCAATCGCAGCGGCGTCCGGAAATGTCCAAGTGTCCCCATCGTCCTCGGAGTAGATGACTGTGCAGGTTCTCTCCCTTTTTTCTGCCTTCTCGCTGACTGCCACGAGAGGGAAGACAACCGTCGTGCCCCCAACTGCAATGCCTCTGGCCCCACGAGCGGCCTCCAACACATTCCATGAATGCTTCCCCATCAATGTGAGTAGCGTGGACTTCAACGACCGTGGGCCCTCCCACGACACTGTTTTCCCCCCTGGTACCGCCGTGGACGCCGTAACGTCACCCACAAACAACTCAAGGTCCCAGGAATATGAAGTCTGCAAAGGCACACTGGACTGCTCGGTAAAGTTTGACAAAAGAAGAAATATTTTGTTCGCCTTCGCCACAGCCTTGGGGCCAAACAGAAACGTACGGTATCCGCCTTTTTTGAATTGCTCAAACACAGTCTTCGGCGTCCACTGTTTTGCCGCCCATGTAACGTCTTTTTCCAAATTACTGACGTCCCCGTACGAGTTGTATTTTGCCAAAATGTTATAATACATGCCGTCATAACTTTCGTCATACTCACCAATGGCAAGTGCAAGCATCGCGCCGTTCACGTCAACGAGGGAATGACCGTGGATTGATAAGACAAGTGAATAACCATCAAACGTTTCTCTTCCTTCTTCAGCAGCGGGCACGGTTACTTCCCCTGGTTTAAAGAGTTCAACCTCTTTCGACTCCATCTGCTCCCCCGCACCTCCGGAGGCGTCAACGCCGCGGCAAAACAACACAAAGAGAAGGAGCAGCGCCGCGGAATTAAGCAAACGCCGGGACATTTGGGGTCGTTGTTGTTCACTCTCGCCTCCTTCCGCTGGATCAGTCACACGGCAACGGTTGTGTGTGCGTCGGGTACCTTGACAGCAGCAACACGTGAGTCTATGTAAATGTGTAGAAGTGTTTTTGATGTGCAGT